CCCCAGCTCCCAGACAGTGCATGGCTGTCGTGATCCCTGCTGCCCTGCACTGTCCCGCGCTGTTTGGGAATGCTCTGCCACAAGCCCTCAGAGGCCCCAGTTGCTGTTGCCAGAGCCAGTGAGTGCAGGGCTTTTTTTTTCTTTTAAGTGCTGGAAGGCTGGAGGAAGCTAGCGCAGCCATGGGGGCTTCTCCCACAGCTCCTCTGGCTGTGGCTGCCTCTGCCCGGGTGGGGGGAGCTGCAGAAAAAGCCCCCATGGCTGCCCTGCCTAGCCCATCCCCCACCCGGCCCAGCCAGAGCAATGCAGGCACAGCTCACTCCAAGCAGCAGCAAGGCATAGCCTAGCCCCCACTCCCAGCACTGCCATGCCACATCAGCACTGAGAGCGGGGACTCTGCCATGCCACCGTTTGCCAGCCAGTGTGGATGGTTGCAGGATGTAGGTGTGGCAGTGCTCAGAGCGGGAGCTATGCCCTGCTGCCACTTGCCCAGCCAGTGCAGGGTTGGGGGCACAATGCAGGCACGACTCGCTCCAGGCAGCAGCAGGGCATAGCCCCTGCTCCGAGCGCTACTGCGCCCGCATCAGTGCTGGGAGCTGGAGCTCTGTTCTACTGCCACTTGCCAGCCAGTGCAGAGGGGTGCAGGATGTGGACACGGCAATACTGGGAGCGGCAGCTAAGCCCTGTTGCTGCTTTGCCCCCTTCCACTTGGAGCGAGCCGTGCCTGCATCATGCCCACTCCCCCACTACAGCTGGGCAAGCGGCAGCAGGGCAGAGCCCCCGCTCCCAGCACTGTTGCACCCGCGTCCCACCACCCTTCCCAAGTAACGCGACCCCCCGCCCTGGCTGGGCAGCTTGTCACGGCCCCAGTCCCACCCCCCCACCATGCCCATTTCCTCCCCCAAACCCAACAGACTTACAGCCGGAGGCAGCTGTCAGCTGCCTGTTTAGTCTATGGCTGAATCTCCAAAGCTTTTCTGAATTGATTCAGATGCTGTGAATCGATTCAGAGCTTTTAATTGGTCTCCCAATTTGATTCGGAGAGTTGGTCCCCAAATGAGGCCGAATCTCTTCCAAATCAAATCAGCTACTGAAGCTTCACACAGCCCTAATGGCTGCAACTCCTGTTGTGGAAACTTCTGTCAATTAAACTAGTCCAGTTAGGTTTAACCTGTATTTTTAAACAAACTGACACAAACTGAAACCTCGTAAACCAGATTTAAACTGACACAAGATTGTTGACAGAAAGGTTTGCACAAATTTAATGACATTGGTATAAACTAACTTTTAGTTAGTCCATTGTGCCTTGTGTTGCCTTCCTACACCATCCCTCCATTTTCTTACCCCCTTCACTTAACAATTGGTTGGGTGAAATTGTGATCTTACTAAGGGCAATGGCATATGTGGGGCCAGGATTTTCCCTTGGGGCTTTTGATTGTGTTGCACCTTGAGCACTATTAAATGAACAAAGTTATCAAGAATAAACCCTATGTAAACATAATTAAAGAGTGTGTCATATATGTGATATGAAAAGCAGTAGACCTCACAAGGAAAACATTATTTTGTCATTTGACGTTGTTAATTTTAGAATGCAGTTTTGTGAGCAAGAATGATCAAATATTCACAGATTCACAGAAGTTTAGGGCTGGAAAGGACCTTGTGAGATCATCAGATCCAGCCTCCCTGCTCTGGGTAAGAAAGACTGCTGGGATCAAACAACCCTAGCAAGGTGTGCTTCCAGTCTCCTTTTGAATATTATTACAGTAATGCCCCATTAGTACTACTAGAGAGGTGTATGTGCAGCTTTTTGATTTTACATATTTCTCTTGAATGTCAGAAACTACACACTTAAGCCATATGTTGGAATAATTTTAGTAAGTTGGTAATATAAAAGTGACGCTGTAGCCATGATGGTCCAGAAATGTGTGGGGCAAGAAGAATGTCTTGGTTCAAAAGCTTGTCTAACTTTATTTGAGTTGTATAGTTGGTCCAATAAAAGATATCACCCTAAGAAATCCTTGCCTTATTGCACAGTAAATTGGTATAATATATCTCTTACTGTATTGGCTTTAAATTAAGAAAGATCATCAAATATTTATATGTTTATTTTTAATGAATACTTCAGTTGGAATGTTAAATGCACAGCTTTAAAGTATATTGTGTTACCCTAACTCATTAAGGTAGTGAATCTGTGCAATTACAGTTATTTAAATGCAAATGTCTGAGATTACTGTATTGCAGATGTAAGAGTCTGTAGGACTAGTGTATGATGTTCTTTAATTTGCATCTCTTTCGATGATTAAAGAATCCTGAGTAAAAGCATCTAGCTGAAAAACAAATTTTAAAAAGAAATTTTACTTCCTTTTGTTTTTTATGTTGTACTGGGTAGTTCTTTAAGGAGTGCTTCACATTGAGGACATCCATTTAATTGGTATTTATGGAAGGTTATGGCTACCTTGTATATATTATTGAAATGGACTGAATTAGGTCTTTTTGTAATGTAAACCTCCATTCTTTTTACTCCTGTGATTGATGTGAGGAGCAGCATTGATAAGAATCCACATCTTGTCCTTACCAGCCAGAAATATTAAAGGTGATGCCTACAAAATGAGACCACATTGATTAGTGTCATTAAATAGAGCTATGCATATTCATAGGGGTTTTGATCAGGATGTTAGGAAGTTTCTCAGGGTTGATCATGAAATCCCAGGGTGTACAGAGAAGGTTTTCAAGGGCCCTAGTTAATATGTTAGTCATTGCAGGGACAGGGGAGGAGATACCTATTTGACTTTGCATCAATTTCTAGAGCATAAACTTGACTTTTTCTTGAATCTAGTTTGTACAGTCTTCCTAGTTTGCATTAAGGAATAAAGGAGCCTAAATCATCAGTGTCTGTAGAATTCTCCAGATTTTACTAAAAGGCACATATATTTGTGTGCCTGATTTATATCACATGAATCAGTTATGTTTGCAGGCACCTAGCAGAAGCTAAGGTCTGAATGGTTGATGTGCAAATACTAGATTTATGTGTATATGTTAGGTATTTGTATGTACAAGTACACAAAAGTGTATATGCATAAATATACTCAATAACTTTGAATATATCATCCCTAATTTTAAAATAGCAACATCAATAAATATTTTGATTCCAGTGAAGGAAGAGGACCCTTGTCTGAAATAATGTCCTGAAATGCAGGAAGTTAATTACTGAAGAGTTAACAGTGGGATTCATAAAATAATATTGAAAGGGAGACTTAATTAACATTGCACTGCCTTTTCAGTAGGACTGAATTTGTCTGGTTTATCCCCCAGCCAAATATGTTACTTTGTATTTGAAGAATACTTCTTACAGTAAGTCTTAAGAAGCAAGCTCAGCTTTTTTGTATAATCTCATTATAGCATTTATATACTTTATTTACTTGGTTTGACATTGATTGATAGAATGTTCAATGTATGTTTCACGTATTTGCATGAATAAGAGTTTGTTCTTTGCTTGAGAATTGGAAATAATTGAATCTTTAATTTAAATCTTAAGGTATTCCTCGTAACCCAGCCACATAATAAATGTTGATGATGATGATCCAGTTTAGATTATTAGGGTGGAAATATACTAAGTGCATGGCATGTAAAATAGATATTAAAGCAGTCAGTCTCTGGGAGAGAGACTCACCTGCAATCCACAGAGTGGGGGAGGAAGCAACAGCTCTTCCTTTCTTTTTATAATTTATTTCGGTGATAATAGAGATGGGATATTAAATATAGCAGCACAGATTAATGGAGTTGTAATAAAGCAAACAAGATCCATTAGCCAAATCACTGCTTTGAACAGCAGATTCCTTCATAAGTGCCCTTGAGTGCCTCACATGGGAAAATTTTTTAAAGCACTTTGAAACGTCATCATTGAGATTGGATTTTTAGAGTGTTGTGACCAAGACTAAATGACAGAATTTTAAAATAACTCAGACACTTTTTAAACATTATTCAGTCTTAACTAGAGTCCTTACTTTAAAACTTAAACACTTATGTTCAAATTTAAAAGCAGAAATTATATGCATTCAAGCTTCATAAATGTGTGCTATTTAAATGCAAGCCAAATTTATGCTGTCATGAAGCAAAGTGTCTTTGATATCATTTTTGTTGCAGTAAAGAAATTCAGTGTCAAAGTTTTGAAGCTGTTGTTTTGTAAGTGAGGAAGCAGTTCTCCAGTGAATTAGGTGAAAACAAGTTTTGAAATAGAATGTGTCGCTTCAACTAGATTACATTTTAATTATGGATTTGATATGGGGTTAATGGTCAGTTGTGGTACTGCAGGCACTTGAAACTGCTCACAACTCCAGTTGTTCCTTGATTGGAAATCTTGCCCATTTTCTGGAGCATTAAATAAACAGGAAAATGCCTTGATATTGTTACATTTTCTTTTTTTATGGACATTGCATCTTGAAATTGGTCTTAGTTTTCCAGCTAAAATATATGTACATAAATCAGCTACCAACTTTCATGAGCTACCCTATTTTAATATTATACTTGTAGGCAAGTAAGACACTGTAATCCCTCAGAACTGGTATATTTTACCTCTTGAACCCTTCCTCTGCCACCTCTCCCCCAAAAGTAATGCAAACACTGATTTACACAAGGGAGTAAAATACATGAATGTGTATGGAAATAATTATTCTAGATTTTTTGCAGTGATTTCCAAATTTAATTTTCTTAAAACCAACCTAAGATTGTGATTAATAATAAAAGCCTTAATTGTAAATGCACAAAATAGCTGTTTATACATGTATAAAAATATCGTTAATCCAGGTTTGCTTATTTTGTCAATAAGACATATGCCAGCAGGCAGATGTCTGAGGGAATTTTTCACATAGGACTGCCTGTTTCCTGTGAACGGCCCACAGCTGTAACTCAGCCAGTAACTGCAAGAGCGTACAGCATTTCTCTGTTGCTATAGCTGTGATGTCACATACTGATACTAACATGTGGTTGGCTATTTTGTGTTTCAGATCACTGCCTGTAGTTGAGCACAAAGAAAACATCGAGACTCCCACATCTTTCAGGGAGAAGAAAGGAATCAGCAGAGCAGACTAATAAGGACTTGTGTCTGGTGGCCTTTTCATACAAAGGCTGCCTTTAAAAAAGAAACACAGTGTTATTTAATGAGCTGTGAGATGAGACGCTGCTGCTAACACTCAGATTCCAAGATTCATCTGCTATTCATTGTGCTTAATGTACATGTTTCTGCACTGTGCATTTAGAAGATCCCAGAGAAGAAACCAAAACGGCTGCGGGGGAAAGACCACCAAACATGCCTACAGAAACACTACAGACAGGTAGCATGGTGAAACCTGTCAGCCCTGCTGTCACTTTCACATCGGCTGTTCCTCTTCGCATCTTAAACAAAGGACCGGACTATTTTCGCAGGCAGGCAGAGCCTAATCCAAAAAGACTAAGCGCTGTGGAGAGACTAGAGGCTGATAAGGCAAAATACGTTAAGAGCCAGGAGGTCATCAATGCCAAGCAAGAGCCTGTGAAGCCAGCAGTGCTTGCAAAGCCACCGGTTTGTCCTGCAGCCAAGCGAGCTTTGGGCAGTCCTACCTTGAAAGTATTCAGCAACAATGCAAAGACTGAGAGTGGTGTCCAGAGAGAAAATTTAAAACTGGAGATTTTGAAAAACATCATTAATAGCTCAGAAGGCTCCAGCTCAGGTTCAGGTCACAAACATAGCTCACGAAATTGGCCTCCCCACAGATCTGATTCAACAGAACTAAACCGACATTCATTTGCAGAATCGTTAAAGGTTTACCCCACCCAAGGCCGCAACAGCCCTCAAGAAAGCAGCTCCAGTGTGAGCAGAAGGCTCTTGGACCAGTCTGCGGAGACCTTCTTACATGTTTCTCACAGTTCCTCAGACATTAGAAAAGTAACTAGCAGTAAGCCCTTAAAAGCAATACCCTGCAGTAGTTCAGCCCCACCTCTGCCTCCGAAACCCAAAATTGCTGCCATCGCTTCTTTGAAATCCCCAGAGATCGAGGCAGTAGAATCTGGATGTGGAGTCAGCAGAAGACCCTCCTTACAACGATCAAAATCAGACTTAAGTGACAGATATTTTCGTGTTGATGCAGATGTTGAACGATTCTTTAACTACTGTGGACTGGATCCTGAAGAGCTTGAAAACCTTGGGATGGAAAACTTTGCAAGGGCTAATTCTGATATTATATCCCTCAACTTTCGCAGTGCAAGCATGATTAGCTCAGACTGTGAACAGTCTCAGGACAGCAACAGTGACCTTAGAAATGATGACAGTGCCAATGACCGTGTGCCATATGGCATTTCTGCAATTGAAAGAAATGCCAGAATCATTAAGTGGTTATATAGTATCAAGCAAGCGAGAGAGTCACAGAAAGTATCCCATGTGTGAAAGAAAATCCACAATAGAATAAGCAAGGACTGTATCTTTGTCTGTGAATATTCAGTTGTGAAGGGTCGTGAAGTCTACTTGAAGTCTTGTACACTTCTCAAATCTCTTTGTGTTGCTTGTTGTGCAATGTTTTCAAGTTGCATGCCTGTCAACATGTGAACTGACCTGGCTTCCACTTGAACAATAACTAACTACAAAGCCTGGCTGAGCATACGCGTTATCTGCCAAAAGTTTAAGACAAGAATCTGATTAGGGCTTCATTATAATCAAGCTGTTTACATGAAAAGGTTTTATGACTTCTTCAATATTTGTGTAGTTCCTTGTGGATTTTACATCTCATGTTTTTGTGTCTTAATTACAGATATTGTCAACTGACATTACTAGCTTTTAAGTTGAAAGAGAATCCTTTTGAGAAAAAAGGCAAAATTGGCCAAAATAAGAGATTTGAGCATATACCAATTGTTAAAGAAACTTGATCTCCTGTGGAAAGTGATGTATTGGCTTGTGTAAAACTGTTTCTAAACTGCAGAGTATAATGCGTCCTTTGTTCAAATACATGGATCCACCTGTTTTTTCTTTTCTGACAGTTTCCTTGGTTTCATAGCAGAGAGCCTAGAAAAACTGCTTGACCTTTCAAAAACTAAATGAGTCTTGCATTTGATGTAGGGTACAAATATTAATGGGTTTATGTTAAACTGATGGAGAGGTTAAAAAGAGTCAAAGTTGACCGATGAAAATGTCTTGAGTGTGTTTTTTTGTTTCTTTTTTATTAAATAAAGATTCCTAGTCTTAAACTTTTGACAGGAATGATTAAATCCTATAGCTGATATTGAATGCCTTTATTAGTCAACCACATCATGACTATAAACTCCATGCTGTCTTTTAATTTTTTTGTAGACCTATTGGAACAATTTCTGAACAAAAAAATGGAAAAACACAGCCATATCAATATAAAGCCTCCTTTTCAGAAGTAAATACACTCAGTAGCTGAACTATATCTGAGAAATTGTGATTATGTTGTCTTGCATATGTTATATCTAAGGCTGTGAAAGTTGTTACAGCTCTAGGAAGTGTAGAAACATGACAGTATGTAGGGTTTTTTTTCCTTATGATGGTTAGTGCTGCACGTCAATCTGTTACAAATTTTTTGACAATCTGTGTCTTCCCAATGGGTTAATTAACTGTCATCCCAACTGACAGTTGTGGTGTGGTAGCAGAGAAGTTGAAAGTACAGTGGTCTGCTTCATTATTATTGTATTCATGCTTTGAGGTAAATTGCAGCACTACCTTATACTTCATCAGCTAATAGGAAACTTTTTTATTGTGTAAATGCTGTAAGACTTTGTATATACTTCAGTTGTTATGAAATCTTTAAAAGGAAGAGTGTTATGCTAATAAATAGCTCCTGGTGCAGGTATTGGAAGTAATTTATTTTTTCCTTTAATTTTTTTACCGTTTTCTTAAAGTATAGTGAAAAATTAATTGCAGTGCATTTTTGAGTCAGAGCTGTAGTAATAATAGACCCAGTGAAAGATTGCTCCCTATAATTGCTTTTCAGAGCATCAGTTCTTCAAAGTATGAAGTGACAAATCTGGTGGTAGAACTGAAAGAGATTATCAAGACTCCCTAAATAGCCTACTGCTTTCTTATTTACTGCACACTTCCCTGCCACGGCGCCCATGTTCAGCATCTGTTTCCAACAAACCACTAAAGTAATCATTTCTACTTTTCAGTATTCAAAATGTTTTACAAGATCACATTATATTTTTATTTCAAGGGATCTTTAATATAATGCTGTCTACTAAGTCTAGCATTCTGTTCTTATATTTAGAGAAATTTCAGTTCTTTTTCAGGTCATAAAGACCTAACATGGTTGGAGCTGGAGTAAAAGAACCAAGGAATCAGCTGCTGGATACAGAACTGAGCATGTATCGCAGTTGATTAGTTTAAGTTTTCAAAGTGAGCATTCATGAAAAGAAAAGACTTATTTGGTTCCATGAGGCAACTATTCTGATTTTTGTGCATTCATCTGGATGGTTTCATGACACAAGCCTACATAATTTCCATCCAGGATAAAAAGGAGGAACAAATATATATATTTAAGCTACAGGCACATTTGTGACATATTTTTAAGTCTGTGGATTTTATTTGGCATTGACATCATATTGGTTTTTCAAGCATATTTTGCTACTGTGCGTTCTATCCAGTTTTTGCCAAAGAAAGTAATGCTTTAAGGGACTAAAGCCAAGTGTAATGCAGATGGGCAGCTGTGAAAGAAAGAACATGAAACCAAAATAAAATGCTCTCACATAGTTGCTTATCAAGTAAAATGTTTCAGGAATGATAGTGATCCTGCTTGCTCTCTGACCATTGACAACACAAAATATTCATAAGGAAGCCTTTAAAACTAGATGCTGAAATAGGACAAATACTTTTATTCCACCATTGCTTCCTTTTGAAGTTAGAGGCATCAAGTTTAAATCTACCTAATCTACTTATTAATTATTTAAGTGGTGGAGTGTGCGAAGTGGGCAGTATTTGATTTGGATTTGACCCGATTCGGGGGACAGTGATTCAATTCACTGGTTTGGACCACTGTCCCAATTCGATTCAGCCGAATCTGAATCTGAAGATTCGATTCTGATTCAGAAATTTGACAATTTGGCCATAGACACAGCTTTATATGGTTTTTTTCTATGTACCTTGAGGTACCAGTGGCAGTTCATGAATGCTGAGATGGTGGGCTGGATGAAGCATCCCACAGGAGCATGGGAGGGTCCGACACCGAGCATGTGGGGGGCCTTCCCCCTGCCCCCCCCCAGCTCAGCGATTGGCTGCAGGGGGACTTCAGGTGCCCCCTCAGACCCAGAAGGCACCAGTCGCCTAGCCAGGGGGTAGGGGGGTCCCCCACACGCTTCGCAGCAGACCCAGAAGTGGACCAAAAGTACTTCTGATCCACTTCCAGGTCCACCGCTGAGCACACAGGGGCGCTTCCATGGGATGCTCCATCCACTTCATCATCTCAGCATTCACAAGCCACACCTGGTACCTCGAGGTACGTAGAAAAAACGTATAAAGCTGTGCCTATGGCCAAATCGTCAAATCTCTCTGAATCGATTCGGAGGCTTCCGATTCAATATGGAGAGATTAAAGGGTCTCCTGATTTGATTCAGAGATTTGGCCAACAAATCTCCTCCGAATTGAATCAGCAACCTCAGCTTTGCACAGCCCTAGTACGTGGCTTGTGCTAGAGAAGCATTTTTGACACAGTACAGTAAGGATGTATCCACTTGTGTAAGTAGCCTTTTTTTCACACTAGTAATCCCATTGAAGTCATGGGAGTAGGATGCGCGGAATCAGGGATGAGGTTTCATGATCAGCTCTACTTAGAAGTCTGCTGAGTTTGCTGCATTTGAAAAGGGATTTCAAAGCTGGATGATTACAAGCTGCAGAAAAGTTATCGATAGGTCAGAGACAGCGAGTGATGTTTTTTCTTCGTCCTTTCCTAAGAGTGTCTGTAGAAGGGATTTATTCATTTATTTTTTAAATAATTTTTAGCATTACCACGTGTGTCCTAGAAATGAGTCGCATCACAGGTCTTGTTTGTTTTGTTTTAAGTAGAAACAACTATTTGTGGTGTGTCTGCATTGTTTTTGCAGTGCTCTCAAAAAAGCCTACCCCTTTTCCACACTTTCTCCCACGCTGCACATCCCAAACCCAGAAATGAGGCAGTGAACTGTCCTAAGAGTGCTGATCTTGAGCGTTCTATGCCCATTGGACTTGGCAGTAGTGGCAGGGGTTACCTTCAGAGGGGCTTCACCCTGTCATTTCTAGCTTTGGCTCATGCCCAGTGGGAGCTTGAGAACCCAGATGGGCCTGAGAATGGCCCTCCCAGCAGAGCTGAAGAAGTAGGATAGACATACCTTTTTCTTTTTCACCCAGTTGATCCAAACAGCAAGGATTCAGTGTCCCTTTCTTTTATCAGTGCTTTGGAGTCTTCCTGAAATGTACTACATAAATGCAAGTTGGTTGTGTCATCCTGAGGATGCAGTCCTTCCTTCTTGAAGATCCAGCAAACATTTGGGCTAGGTACAGATATTCAAAAAGCCTGAGGTGGAATCAATCCAAGTTACGCAGTTTTCTGTTAAGTGGCATAATTTAAATCAGTAGCAAACAAAACATACATTTGCCGTCTGGTGGGTGGAGGGTCAAATCTTGGATTGAGTTCCTCCATTTTTAAACCAGTTTGTTTGCCAAACTTTTGTTCTGTTATGGGTATAGACCAGTTTCCAATCACTTATATATAAAAATGTAATGTCTGTACCTGGCCTTGCAGATTGTTGGAAACAGACACTAAAAAGTCCTGATCCAAAGTTTACAGCTATCAACATCCTATTAATAGGCTTCAGTGAACTTTGGATCTGGTCCAAAGCATATACCAAAATGCCTGCCTACAAATAGTGTTACAAGACACCTGGGAAAATTAACAAATTCCTGGGCTTCTGCTAATGCCAGCGCTCAGCTCTGTCTGCAAACATGTAGTGCAGAGAATGACAGACTGTTTTCAACTGAGGTAATCTTACAATGTTTCAGAAATGGGCGTTTACTACCGCTGAAGCGGCAGAGTGCATATAGTGCTGAAATTGCTTTGCAGGACTCTAACAAATGCTAGGACAATCATTTCTATATTTCCAAGCACAAAAGAGGCCAACAGTAAAGCACAACTTGCAGTCATTTTGTACTTGATGACATTGTAATAGCATCAAAGTTAAGAAATATGTGATTTCAGCAAGTGAATTAAATTATGATCAACGTGGTTTGATGGGTTCTGAGATTATATGGATTTATGAATTCCATTTTTTTTGCATTGGAGAGTGCTGTGTTGAAAAGGAGATGAATCATCTGATTGATCAAGGGCTTTCAAAGGGTAAACACAAAATGAAAATGTTTTTGGCAGGAATTCAACAATCAAAGGATACATTTAGACAACACAGCCCATCAGTATCTCTGACTTGTCTCTTTTCAAAGCAGTTTCACCCACCCATGGAGGCCATACAGGCTTGATTCAAATCACTCAATAAGAAACAAAAATGTTTAATGAAGCTCTGGGACATGGAGCTGAATCATGTTTATCTGTAGGAGACCTATCAATAGCAAAGGACTAAGCATCTAAATCTGAAAAACAAGTTTCATGACAACTATTTATTATAGACTGATAATACACAGCTATGTATATTAAGACAAACTTGTTTATACAAAAAATTTATGAGGCATAGTAGGCAACAAAAAAATCCTTGATTTTTCAGGTCTAGTATATACATTCACATTATGCATGATTAACTAAGTAATCAGCCTGATTCCCATTTTCACTGCTTGGCCCACACTGCCAGGGCTGTGCAAAATGACCTTTGTTTGTATAAAAACAAGCTATCCCTTCCTAGTAACTGTAACAAAATTCCATATGAAATCCTTATATCAAGACCCTAATGCTGCCAACTTTACTCATTATCTAGCAGCTGACTACATTCATGAAGACTGAAATAATAAAGGTATTAAATACTTCAGTCTTCTCTGCATCAACTGTAACTAAATTGCCTTCTGCCTTCAATGAGGGTCCTAACTTTCTTTGGTCTATCTGGACATTTTCAAGTGCAAGTTAGAGACAGATACTAGATCAGCATGGTTTAGTCAGGGATGATCCTGCCTTGAGCAAGAAGCTGGACTAGATTGAGTCCCTTCCAGCCCTATGGTTATATGATCCTATATGCAGCACTGACTCTCGTTGACTGCAGTGGTGCTGGAGAAAGCCCTAAGGTTATGGGAAAGGTCATCAGATTTGGCTCCTCGCTGTTAACAATAATTATGTGTATGTCTGTGACAGATGAAATATGTTAATTTTGTGGAATTCTACGGAGAATACACTCCAGGCAGAGAGATTTGCCTTCTACCACCTTTTACCAATCACCATGGCTAATGCAGGAGCTATTTTAATATCTGTTGCAGCAAGAATACATTCACTTTACAAACTTCAAAAGTTGCGCTGTTCTTTTGGGCATAGTCCATTAGAAAACAGGATAGTGAACCTACAACATCCAGCCTACTGTCTGGAGCTCACGAATGTGAACATGAAAACTAGTTTTGAAGTTATGTAGCTGTGATGGTCCCCAAAGTATGTGAGAGGCAAGAATTTTTGTGGGCAACATCTTTTAATGGACCAACTGCATGGTTGTGATAGACATGAAAACTCAACATTCAAATAGTTTATATTTAAATACATAAATACTTAAAATGTTGACTATGCTTTCCTGTCACTATTCTGTAATAATTGCAATTTTTTTCTTCTTTAAAAAATTAGAATTATATAACAGGAATGGCAGGCTTTCATATGTCATGCTTCTGAAATGTGATGGCTT